GCGAGCGATTTCGCCAGGGCTCAGAGGACGCACTCCTCCAGGTATGCTAGGAATCAGGGTGGCTCCAGGACCCTTCAGATCCCGCGTTGGGCCTAAAAAGGCGCAGGCTGGACCTGAAGTACGATGCACTAAGCACTTAGGCGGGAAGCCTGGGCCCTTCACATGCCCGTAAGGGTGGGGAAGCCAGGGGTCGCCCGTCGTAATGATACTGGGCTCCTGTGTCACAACACCTCCTAAGTTCACGGCAGCGGCTTGGGCCTCGGGGTCCAGGGGAATGAGCTGCATCGCAGGGGGGGGGTGAACCGGTGCTGTTCAATCCCTTCAGGGGGCGGAAGCACCTGATCAGCCCAACCCAGAAGTAGCTTTCTCCTCCGGGCACTGAAGGCGCCCAGATGAGAGCTGACATATGAGATTGACCTGACATGGGGGAGGATCTCCTGTATCCCTGATTCCAGCTGAGACGTGTCCATTTGCCTTGGGCAGTCCACCACAAGCTTGCCGAGACGATTCTGGCTTGATTTCAGCTGGTCCCAGAAGCGAATTCTCCTTGCCCTGGGGGTCTTGAGAGAAAGTGAACCAAGCATTGCTATGACTCCCCTTTTCCCAAGCACGAAAAAGACGGAGAGCGATGGCGCAGCTGGTGAGCTCCTGGAAGTTCCACATGCCAGACCTCCCAGGCCTCGCGGAGGCACACATGCTTCAGCGAGGGTTGAGGGGAGTCCGGGACGTGAGTGAGCTGGCGGGCCTTCTGCGCAATGGGGTCGAAACCGAGGGGTAAAACCAGAGCGGAACGCTTCGCGTCCTGGAGGAACTCCTCCCAGTGGATTTCCCCGGGTGTCTCTTCCCACCCGTCGGCCTTAAGTTGTTCCCGAACCACTCCCAGGTCCTCCCGGCTCAGCCAGTCGGCAAGTTGGTTACGGTAAGTCCGGATGTAAATGGGATGGACGGTGAAATTGTGCTCGCACTCCAAACGCTGGACAAGCCTAATAAGCAGGCTAGCAACCCTATTACCTGGGCGACGCTTGTAGAGCCAACTCCTGACATTGGAGTTATCCGTGACATACAGAACAATTTCCCCATCCCAATTTTGCTTTCGGTGACAGGCAAGGACCACGAAGGCGAGCAATTCCATGATGGAAATAATGTCGGCCTCGTCTTCTGCAGAGGCCACCGCCCGCAACGCGTCTTGAAACCTGTCCACAGTGGATGCATGGAAGACCTTGGCCCCCCAATCAACTGCACCAATCCTGTCAAGTGTGGCATCACCACCCGTGATCCGCGTTCGGGCGGTAGCACCTGGTAAAGCGAGCCTCTCGCGGATGGGCAGCAGCTTTTCGAACACAGAGGCGAAGCTTGACTGCAATGGGGCCTCCAGTTGGAGTCGAATGAAATCCAGCGCATCCCAAAAGTTCTCCCATCTGAGGGATTCCTCCTGAGGGTCACTATAGCCTCGACCCTGAGGAGAGTCTGAGCCTTTCCTTTAACCTCTTTTCTGCCTTGGCCTTGGAGATTGCCTTTGAGGAGGCAGTACAAAGACGGGAGATGCGGGGTGAGCGCTGGGCAAGCTACTGTCCAGTATTGGGCGCACCCAATAACCTCCTGAAGCAAACCGAGTGGGACCTCCCTGCACCCTCGTTGCAATGCCGGCTCCCCCAGCAGGTACTTGGCTTTCATTCTCTTGGGCTCGGGAAGCCGCACCTGGTGCTGTTCAAAATCCATGTGGAGTCCCCAAAGGAGCTGGGTCGCTGAAGGCTCTCCTTCCTCTGCCATCTTTTCAACATTCACTCCTTCAGGGCCCCAGACCAACTTCATGGTTTCATCGAGCACTGCCAACGAGTCAAAGACCCGAGTGCCGACCAGGGGTTCCACCACCACTCCGTCATCCATCAACCACTTCGACTCGTACGGCACGATGTCGTTAAAGCGAGGGTCCTCAAGGCGGAACGACCCATGGTGCGCTTTTGCAGCGGCGCTCCAAGCTACGAATTCCCCAGGGGAACCCACCCATCCAAAGGGCATCGCAAGGCTGAGTATGATTAGACCCGCCAGGCGAACGGCAAATTCAGGAACATCCTGAGGGCGCAGGAAGTGCCACTTGAAAGCACGTGGCACGTCGCGTTTGGCGCACCGCTGCGGGATGCCAGGGTGCCTCGCCCTCCACCACAATGACTGCCTCGCAACGGCATGGTGTCTAGGCTGAGGAGCGGGAGGGTGGTTGTACTTCGAGCCGGCCTCGTTCTGCCTTCTCATGTCGTTGATGGGCCTACCTTCCGACGAGATGGTCCGGTCCGGGTTCTGTTTGGGCACACGTCCTAACGGGCTCTCGGCCACGCCCGCGACCCGAAACAGTTGTTCGACCTCACCTTCGGTGGGGTCCACAAGCAGAGCTGCGCCGTAGGCGGCGTCCTTCCACGCCTTTTGGAGGAGCTCCTCTTCGTAGCCGTGTACCGATCCATGATTCTTAGCTTCTTCCCTGCGGAGAGGGGCTTCCCTACGACTCGGCACCCCATTCTCTGCGCTCTGCCGGAGGTACTCCTGATGCAGGGCGGATACGCCTTTGAAAGAGCCTCGCTTTGCACCTTCCAAGTGGTCCCCCAACTTTGCTGTCCTGGCCGAGTTCAGGGCTTCGACAGCTTCCCGTTACCAACTCCGCTCCCAGCCTGCCAGCTTCCATAGCCTTATCGACCGAGAAAGGTGACTGACAGTGCTCCAGGTACTCAACCGCTTTAGTGTAGGAAACACCTCCCACCCTCTCAACCCGTCCTTCGCTGGTTCCCTCAGCGATTTTTGGGACCGCCCCGCCCCCCCCGGGGAGGGTGGGAGGCGGTTGGCCCCTACAGGGAGGGGGCCAGCCACACTGTCCGCGAGGCGGTGCAACCAGCGAGCGACCAGGTCCAGTGCCGAAGCGGCCGGTGGAACACCTGCGGTGCCCAGCTGGTGGAACTCTTCCCAGGAACCATCTGGGATGCCCCACCAAACCGAAAATGCTGCCAAGCGCTGCACGAAAAGCCGCATACGGCAACCTACCAAGTGACGCAACGAGCCAAAAGGCTGGGGCGGAAGCACCACACCATGACAATGGGGGGATTGCTTAAGCAGCACACCAACTTGTCCGAGGAGAGTAGACCAGCACGAGGGCTGAGCTTCAACGAGCCACACCAGATACCCAAGGGACAGCGACTCCGAGTGAGAGTCTATCCACGCTTGCATAGTTGAGGCGTCCGCTTCGCAGGTGGGAATACACAGGTGATGTCCCGTACCAGGGATCTCAGTGACGACGTCGGACACCGTGACCAAGGCCGGGGGCCCATGCTCTGTGTTCGGTGTAGCCAGCACCTCCGGCGGAGGGCGAGCTGGATCGCCAAGATCGTCTTCCTCGTTTCCTGCTTTACAGGGGGTTTGTGGCCGCCGGCAGCGGTAGCAAGGGTGAGGCTTTGACGGGATGATCTCCCCTTCTGCCTCCTGCGCCTCAAGAAAGGCTCCCCAACCCATGGCTTCCAGCTCGCGAGTCACACGGGCCCCGTCTTGGGCGGTACGCACCAGCTGCTCGAGGACTGCTGAACTGCTTAAAATAGTCCGCATATGCCCTCTGTGGATCACTACCGCCCCGGTGCTGAGAATCGGGCCCTCACCGCTGACCAGGTCTAACTCCACTGTTCCCTTATGGGAGAGCCGAAGGACCAAAAGACGCTTACCCCTCATAAAGGAGGGGGCGAAAAGCTGAAGCACCCGAAAGTCTTTCTCGTGATCCAAATAGATACAGTCGTGGGCATTGTGTCTGACAAAGGCCTCAGCAGAGCTGATGTACGTCCCGGCATCGCCCAAGTGCTGGAAAGCTTGGCTGCTGGACTCCCAGAGCTCTAATCGCAGCTCCGCGGCGGTAGCTTGACAAGCCTGCAAGTCTTGTGTGTAAGCTAAAGCCACGTGCAAGCATAGGCACTGCCTCGATTCGACTGTTCCAGAGGCGGGGTCATTAAGGCAAGTAAACCGTCAGTGAGCGCAAGCTTGTCCTGTACGTCCACCACTGGCAAGGGCGGAACGCCTTCCCATCGCGGGTCCTCAAAGACTAGCTGGGTTTTCCCTACCTCGTTATCCCAAATCAACGTCTCAAAATGAGCCTCCTGACGAGGGGGTGGGAGACCGGCCTTGCCCCCAAGAGACTCTAAGTAGCTCTGAGCCTCCTCAGCCAACTAGGGATGTCCGTAGTCAACCGCTTGAGCCAAAATGGCCGAGAGGTCAGACTGCTTCTGGGCCATAGCACAGTTCACGAAGTGGGCGGCCACATGAGAGTGCAGGTGGTCGCTGCAGCCCTTCAACGGGAGGAGGGCTCCTGACGCGACGATTGTCTCATATAAAGCTCGACGTTGGGTGGCCTCCTCCCCGACACCTTGGACCGAGGACGGCTCCGCTGTGTTCGAAAAGCTCTGGTGCCATGCAAAGTCCGGGCCCTGAGCTAGATCCCCCAACTCGGTCTCCATAGCAGTGACCGGCCCTTGGTAGTCATCGGGCACTGCCCACCCAGCTTTGTCCTTAGCCTTGGGCTTGGCTTGCTTTTCCTCGGGCGGTGTCACCTGGGGCAATCTTCGCCACTTGCTCATCTTTTGCCTGCGCTCTCAGCTGAGACAGTCCATCACCGAGTCCGGAGGGACCAGAGCGGTGCGTAAAACGAAGCTCCAAGAGTGGCAATAACACCCGGAAGAGAACGAAGGGGTCGGTCAATACATCCAAATAATCCAAGACAGTCGCCGAAGTGGATGACGAAAGGGTCGAACAGGAAGAAGAAGAGGAGGGCGAAGGAGAAGCGGAGCGTGGGAGCAACATGTATGGCGCCAGGGAAGGGCGGGACTGTGGTACAATATAGAAAATGGCTGGGGAACATCCAAGGCCGGGAGGAGCAGAGGCGGCGGTGGCACATGTTTTGCTCAGTTCCGGGCGACTGAATACAAGGTCAGAGGTGGGCGCTGCTGCTCTCCGCTGGTGGCGTCCGTGGACCTCAGATCACGTCGATGTCGGTCACGGTCACGCTCGCGGTGTGAGGCTTCACGTGCTCCTCGGGAACGATCGCGATCATCACGATCTCGGTCAGCGCGGTCGCGGCGACGACGCCGACTACGGGATCTGCCGGTCGTCGCCACTGTGGTACGTGGAGGAGGAAGTTGCGGCCGCGCCTTGACCTGTACATAAATCAGGCTGCCATCGGTATCCACCTTCGGCGCGAGAGGTCGGCCGGTGTGCTTGGAGACAGCCGGAGGTGGAATTGTGTTGCCGGTCGAGATGGAATCCGAACGTCCCGGAGGCAATGGAGTCGAAGGAGAAGGTCCCACAGGCAAAGGATCAGAAGGAAGTGGGGATACAGAACGACGTCGGCGGCGATGACGATCACGATCACGATCTTCGGCTCGAGGGCGTTCTTCAGCTCGAGGGCGGTCACGATCTCGTCCCCGAAGTCGAGGTAGGGTATGGCGCTGAGAGGGATCAGCATAAGGAGGAACCGGTGGTGGGCCCATAGGGGCCGGAGGGGCCACACTGCCGCCAGGAAGTGTTAGGTCCGGGAGAGTCATAAGCAGCTTGACCAGAATATTACCTGTGTCAATGGATGTAATCGGTACTGTAGCAGGCGGAGGACCATCCGGAGGCGGAGGAGAAGATGTAGTGGTCACCGGACTCAAAGTAGGGGGCGGCGGAAGCGGGGCCGCGTGGTCCGAAGGAGGAGGAGCAGTGTCGGTGGGTCTGATATTCGGTCGGTTCTGATGAGCTCGTAGCAGTACATCACGCACTTGTAGAAGTTGGCTGTCAGAGAGCGACTCGAAAAACACCAAGAACAGCTGCAAATACTCGGAACTGAAGGCGGTGGAGGCCATGATGTGCTGTGATGGTTCCAGCAAAACGGCTGCGGAATATAGCTGCAACAACAAGGAGACCAGCAATAATGCATCTCAAGTCACGCTCACGTTTTGTGGCTCCTCTCACATAAACACGGCGATGCCTTCTGGTTGTGCGAGCGTGGAATGCACTCCCCAACGGTTGTCATTGCCGTGCAGGATGGAGACGAAGTAGTTTGCCGCGTTCTCGGGGATGGTGCCCCCGCTGTCGCTCTTCAGGTGGTAGCCAGCGGGAGTGTTAGGGAGCACTGAAGAAGGCGAATCGGCAGGCGCGGCATTGGCTATGTCGAGATTGCAAAGCAAAGAGGTACTCGGCCGTATACACAAATCGGACGGGGAGTCCCAGCCGCCAAACTTGGCTGCAGCACGTAAGGCCCCGCTGAGGCTGTTGACCGAAGCGCGAGAGTAGAAGGCTGGACTCGGCAACCAAGAATCGTCAAGGGGGTCGAAATTGCTCGGTCGGATGCAGCCTTCTTTAAGGATGCCGAATGCCGCCTGAAGATCAGTGTTGTGGCCGAAGTACGCGACAGCTGGTGCACCACTGATGCGTTGTGCCGCGGCCGGGAAGGGGAGTGAAACCATCAGCATCGGTCTGCCTGCTTGGTCTGGGCGATGTTGAGGGGCCTCAACGTGCGTGAACTTGAACTGGATGCTGTGAGGATGGTATCCGGCATGCACTAACAGATGCATCACTGTCAGTATCGGATCCGCTAGCGTAAACGGTACTTCAAACTGGCGTCCCTCCAAAAGTAACTCCCGTTGGCACTGTCGGCGATGAGGTAGCGCTTTGAGGTAGGACCTGTGTTGTAGCAGTGCAGTGTACACTCGATCCCAGTGCACCGCCTTGAGGGAGCCCAGCCGTGTGGAATAATCAGATTGCAAATAAGTGTCAAGCTGCCCTGCCGTGGCCAGACACTGTCGCAAAGTTGCCAAAGTGCACGCGGAGCTGAAAGGAGCTCCTGAAGTCGAAGAAGCTGTAGGCGGAGACGTCAAGGATGCTGTAGGGGTGGTAGAAGGATCCGGCGCCGGAGGAGTGGAAGCAGGGGCATCGGCAGGCACCGAGTGGTCGTTGCTGGAGGAATGCGGGACTGAGACAGTGGGAAGCAGACCAGGCCAAAACGTGCTTGCAGGTAGTGGAGAAAGATCAGGAAGGGTGCTTGGAGCTGCCATGTCGACGGGCCGTGGAGGCTGCAAAGGGTCGGCAACTCGGCCGGACAAGGTGGAACGTCGAGGTGCCGCAGTTCGAGTCATAGGTGCCGCCGGCGTTGACGAAGAAGAGGAAGAGGAAGATGATGAGGACGAAGATCTGGGGCGTGACCGAGACCGTGAGCGAGAGGGTGCTGTCGTCCGGAGTCCAGGTGCACAGGACGGACGGGGGCGAGGAAGCATGGCGAAGACAGAAAAGCAATGCACAGCCAACAGCAACTACTACATGAAAACCCGTTAGAACGTTACGGTCAAAACTCTCCCTGCCTGAGTCCTTGGGTATGAGTGCTTGAAGCTGCTTTGGCTGCAATCGCGTTTTGGTAGGCATGAAGCCGACTTTGTGGGTGCCATAAGAGGCGGTAAGGCCATGTGGCTTCACTGCTCTCCTCATTGAACTGATCTAAGCGCTGACACTGAATTTGGCGCCTCCGAACTTGGAGGATCTGAGTGCAGCACCGAGGCATACACCACCGTCCCGGAGGACTACACACTGAATGCTAAGGAAGGTTTCTGTATGCGACGGACCACCTGATGCCCAGGTCTCAAGCGACCACACATCAGAGACTCTTGACATGACAGATCATGCTCAAGAACGTCGAAGAAGTACAGCAAGATGAGACCCTGCCTGGACCTGGCAAACCTAGCTAAACCCCAACGTGGCCTGAACCTCAAGTGGACACAGAAGAGCTCGACTGTGAGAGACCAGAGCGGGATGTATGAGCACAGGAAAGTATTGCAAACGCTCGCACTGAAGAATGGCTTCACTCGCACTGAAGAATGGCTTCACTCGCACTGACAAGGTTCCGTACGGGGTTCTCGGCTTAGCCCCAGGCCATCCGGACAAGAAATATGCACCAATACGATGAAGAACCATATACAGCGAAGACCAGGATGTCGCAAGCAACTGTGCAGGTACGTGAAGAAGGCGTCCCCTCTCCATATCACAGCAAATCTGGACGGTCTTTGTTAGGCAGCGCAATCCAGAAATGCTCGCTGCCCCCCTGCTGTGTACTTGGTACTCAAGTCCGGTTATATGTAAAATCGCAATCGGTAAACGGCTGCAGAGCGTGAGGAGAAGGCCCTTGGATACAGGGTTGTCACACACACACACAGGCGCACACACACACAGAGAGACACAGAGAGACACACAAAGAGACACACAAAGAGACACACAAAAAGACGCACAGACACACACAGACACACGCAGACACACGCAGACACACACAGACACACAGACACAGAGACACACAGGGGGACAGGGACACACAGACACACAGACACAGAAACACACAGACACACAGACACACGCGCACACGCGAAAACGCGCACACCCGCACACGGGCAAACGCGCACACGCGCACAAACGCACACGCGTGTGCACTCGCGCGCACACATGCACGCACACACGCACACATGCACCCATGCACGCACGCGTGCACGTACCCACGCACGCACGCGCGCACGCACACACACACACACTCGCACGTACGCGCACGCACACGCACCCGCACCCGCAGGCGCAACATCCTGCGGCAGCTGCCTGGATGGGTTGCTGAGGCCCGTCTCCGAGATCCTCCACTATACACCACGGCTTTTGTCCAATCAACAACTCTGCTTGAAAAGCAACACGCATAAAGCAACACAAGACCCTTTAAGCGCCTTGTGCAGTTTAGGTTCTCGAGTTTTGAATCAGGGCTTCAGGTGTAGACTTTACGGTAGGGTTTGAGGCGTTTCGGGTTTACTGTTTTGGGATTTGGGGGTTAGGTTTCTTCTTCCAGGATTTGGTCGTTGAGGCTTACGTTATTGTACAGGTGCTTGCTGTTTTTTTGGAGAAAAAGAAGGGGCTTTACACGGTTTTGTGTTTGTGTTCCATAAGGCTTGGTTTGCTAGGGCGGCAAAAGGGGTTTTGGAACGGTGCTGTAAAGCGTCTTACAAGGTTTCTATAAGATTCCCTTCAAGGGCTCTACGAGGGCTTGTTTTGTTTGGGCTTGAGGGCTTTAAGGTTGTTTTTTTTCGGATTTGAGGGTTAAGTTTCTAGATTCAGAGCGTTGCCTTTTTGTCGTTAGTGCCTTTTCGTTTCGGGGTTCAGGGTGGGTTTAAGGCTTCACGTTCTCAGATTTTTTCTGAGTTCGCCAATACTGAACCTTCAACCATCATGCGTTTGAGTGTTTCAGCTATTCTGACGGTTTTGCGTTTTGCTCTTCTGATCTATTGATTTTGGCAATAAGTTAAGCCCAAAAACATTCAAACAGAATTACATAGTGGCCGAAAACCCACAACCTCTATCCCCGGACCCTTAAGACTGAATGAGGGCGGCATCATTGGTTATTCTAGTCTTTAGGGTTCCGTAAGTAGTTCAAGTACAACATGCCCCAAGGCTTTATTCTACCTTTTAAGACCACTAGAAAGGCCATCGCAGCCGTTCTTCGAACTTAGACTGAAAGTGTATCAAAAGCCAAACCATCTCTCCAAGCCCCTATACACGGGTCAGAAGAATTGCCAAAAGCATCCCTTAGGGTTTCTCAACTCATATATATACATATGTATATATATATATATACAGATGTATGTTACTTATATCTGCAGATAAGCTCTTATGTGTATATGTACATTTGCATTTGCATATGTATCCACACATATTCACATATACATACATATACATGTACATGCCCAAGTAAGCCTGCATACTTTCGCATGCCACCAACTCCGATATGACAGGTCGCGTGGCTGCTGATGCAGAGGCCTCCAGCAAGCCATGAGGGGATTGTCAAATGAGGATTTCCTTGGTACCTGACTCCCACTGGACATATGATAGAACCTTAAACCGTAAAGATCGATTGACAGCCCACCTTATCCTGTTGTAGGGCTTAGGGTTGCTTCATGGTAGTTCAACCCTAATCGAGACTTAAAGAAATCCCTGGTGTATAAAGGAACCCGTAGACTCGCCGTAGAACCCGTTTACGGCGCCATCTGAACCCTAGGCTTTATGAAGGTACCTATCCGAAAACACCGCTGCGACAACAGACCGAACCCTAAACCCAAAATCCGTACAATCCTCGGAACTTTGAACTCCCTGAACAACACATCTGAAGCAAGCGGAGGAGCTCAATACGTCAATAAATGCACGAGGGTCTCGTGCGGCTTTTTCCGCGTAACATCGTAGAACTGTATGAGGACTACCCATAAGGGAAGATGAACCCAGATTTTTCAGACCCGTACTTTCAGGGGCCAACCACCGAAATGCAAACCCAAGACTGTATTCCAATAAGGTAGCCCTAGTTTTCGGAAACTCCCACATCACCAGAACCGGTGTCCGCATTCTACAAGCCCCGAGCCCCTAAGCCGTGCAAGCTTCAACATCTTCATCTTAACCCCGAAAGCCAGAACAGTCATA